CACCTTGTTTAATGTCCCCTTCCGTAAGTGTGGTAATTACCGTGGAGCCAGTCATGACCTACCAGACTATCAGACAGCATCACCTGTGTATTGCTGTGCCATCTCACTAGGAACATGACATTTCTTGTAACTCGCAACTCCAGGAATTAATGATTTTGTCAAAACCGAGTCAGTATTGATTTTTCCCAATTTAAGCAAAAACCTCATTAGTGTTTAAGTCTGGGGTGGCGATGTTCTGTTTTCCTGGGTCGCAAAATTTAAGAAAATATCAATACCTTAAAAAAGTTTACAAGGGTACAGAATACTGCTGGATTAGAGTTTGTGCACTAGCGTGTTTTAATAGAACAGTGAGAGTTTTAAATTTTGATGACTGGTGAAACCCATGACGTCTTTAGCTTTCTAGCGGAGAAGGGAAACCTGTTTAGAGTGCTGGCAAAAAGTGTACGACATTTTCAGAATTGGCTTCAGTTCCTTAGAGAGGAAGAGAAATTTCTTGTTATTAGGAGTCGCTTCCATTTCACTAGGTGGCTGATGCTGCATCCAAATCCATAAGACACCCGAATTTTTGTTGGGTTCTGGTTCATTAAAAGGCAAAACAACTAAGGAAATAGAGAGACGTTGTGTTTGCCTTTCTTAAAAGGAAATTTATTTTGATAGATGTAAAACATTTATCGATCTATTGTCAGAGGTTTTAGCAGTCATTGTGGTGTTTCCAGTGGTGATGACACTTCTATAAAAAGTGTGTTATGAGTGGAAACTAAACTGATTGGAACTGGTCTTGTTGCCGTCTCTCAGCATCAACTCTGGAATTTGATTAGGTTCCAGTCTGAGTCATGCTATGGGTATGTTGTTTTGCAGTCCAAAGAGCACTTGTTGCAAGCTATTGTTGCACTCATTCTGTATACCTCCAGGGCTTGTATTTCAACAAATCTGCACTAACCTCTGGATCTTGTCCCCTGGTTTTCGTGACCAGAGTTACCTCCCCTTGATTTCATCAGCCAATTTGATCATATGTAACTACTCGTCCCTTTCCATAACCTGAAAGAAGACTCGTACCCCTCTCGTAGCCATTTTATTGAACGTGGCTCTGTCTGAGTGCAAAAGCGCAGAGAGAAAAAATTAGTCTAGTCGCTGAACTATTTTCAAGGGCATGTAACGCTAGTTTACTTGGAAAACAAACATGGCATCCACGCCAAGGATATTTTGTCTGAGTGAACGGTGAATACTTTCCTACGCCATAATGTTAATATATCCTGGTTATAAAAATTCAGGAAACCCAGGAGGACTATGCAATAATTAAAATATACTTGGAAGTGTCTGGGAAAAAATTATGCAAGCCGAATTGAAATTTCAACAAACTATTTTGACCCAATTTCTTCTCACATACACTCATTCTGATTGGCTTGGGGAATATTTCTCCCGGACATGGCTATGAGAGGGGTATGAGTCTTCTTTCAGGTTACGGAAAGGGACGAGTAGTTACGAATGCCAGTTTGATTTGTTGAGCTGCTGAGTCTGACAGACGAATCAGAATGCGAGTTACCAACCAGCATCAGTGTTTGGCTGGTGATATCAATGAGAAGCCATCCCACTGATTACGATAGCGTTTGCCAAATATACAACATTGAAAAAATGGCTCACAGAAGAAAGCCCTCAAACATCACTTTGATTGAAAGGATACCTTCATGTCCATTAAAACTGTCCTGTACAAGTTTCTTATTTCCCTTCATTTAACATTTGATTGCTTTGTAAAATATTGGTGAAAATCAAGGCAGATCATTTGAGATGAGAACAAGGGAATGGAACCTTGGGTTAGTGGAGTTCTACCAAAATGGAGAAGTAGAAGATGCAAAGCTCTTGACTGACCAAATTACTAGTGGATCTTGCACCTGTTAGAAAGAGTATGTGAGTGCAATTTTGCGTTTAGCAAATTTTCAAGCCATATAACTTAAAAACCTATTTTTGACTTGTAACTCACTAATGTATGCAAATATCAAATCAGAACAACAATTGCTTTATACAAGCAGGCCTTTGTGTCTGGTTCCAACACATTCTATAGTTCCATTTGTATAAAGAGCTCCTTGGGAAAGCTTACACTTGAACTTAAGTACTCTCATAAGATGAAATATCTTTAGAACATCAGAAATTGTTATGATGGGTTATTCATAAATTCAACATGCAGGGTGTTTCCAAAAGGAATGTGACAGTTTGCTCTTCCTCATCAGTGTGACTACAAAATATGTTTGGTCATCTTACCGAACTCATTTCACTTTATCAGCACAACATTCAGTGTTCGAAATTGACGTCGGTCCTTAGCCCCGAAGCCGACTGGAACCACTCGGACCCACAGCTCTTGTTTTCTGCAGGTCCTTATGGCCGACAGCTTTCTCATCCCCAATAACTAAGATTATTATTTCTCAGAAAATATCATTCAGTAATTTTGTTTGCTGGGAATTACTGATATTGGAGCTAAAATATAGGGCCTACACATTCTGATCAGGACCCACAACTTTTTATGTTTCTGGGTCCCTAGGGCCTGCAGCTTTCCAGGGTTAAGGGCAAACACTGACAATTTTACCTGTCTGACAACCTTTGAAACATGGCAATGGCATGGCAATAGCAGATTTGTCACTAGACACTGACCACAGTTAAACTGAAACCAAGTGACCATCATTGTGTCACAGAGTGAAGGCCAAAAGATTTTGGAAGAAGATGGTTTTTCAATTATGTGACCATGTATAGGTTTGCCCTGACACATTTCTGTTATTTACTGTAGCTTTGGAAAACAAGCAACAAGAATGTAGTACCATCAATTATAACTTGCCCCCAAATCATGCCCAAGTTCAATAAATCATACTTATTCTAAGGGTTTGGTTTCATTAGTCCTGTAGATATTTTGCTAGACTCTGGCTGCAGGCTTGCGGTTGTGTATGTGTCTGTATGATGAGAGCACTTCCTGTACAGTGTTGGATTGTGGGAAAAGATGACTGTGTCTTGAAGCGACTGGTCCCTCAGCCCCATGTAATATGGCTAATCTTATTGCAGTAAAGCTGTAACCTACTGCCTAGGGACACATTCTGATTGTGCAGGCCTAACACAATCTCCCCGAATAGGATGCCAATCCATATCTTCTTTTGGCCTAGCTTAACTGCAGCGCATGAAGACGTGGGAGTGAGCCAATACGATTAAGGTGTTTGATTTTGTAATATAGATGATCAATTTTTAATCACATTGATGGCGTGTAAAGCTCTTTGGAAGTTAAATTTTCTAGCTGTTGAATTCAATGGAAAAGGTGATATTCAATTTGAAAAATTGAAGTCGGAGGTTCAGATTAAAGCTGATGGACAAGCATGATGAGATGTATGTTATCTAGGACAGGAAACCTGTCATCTATAGAGGATCCCCTATTTGATAGTTCAGAAAAATCTGTCACTCAAAGATGGGAGAAACACTGATCGTATGAAATATGAATTTCTGGTGAAAAGCCTGAGGTTGGTTGGAGAGAACAGTGTATGTTTCACTTTGTGGTTCCATGGCTGTTTGGTTAGTTTCCATGGTAGCATATTTAAATTTGATAAAATGATATTAACAGTATTACATAATGAAAAGATTTTAACCTGTTTCCCAGTTATTGAAATGATCATAGCACTCTCACTAAAGCAACAAAATCTGCTGACTAAAAACGTATAAGTATCAAGCTGGGAGCACTTTACTTATACCGGTACCATTGTTTTACCTACTTCCGGTTTCTAACCCTAACCCTGCTAACCCTAATCCTAACCTTAACCTTCCTTCCAATCATGCGCAGAAAATACATTTAGTGGTACCGGTATAAGTAAATCTACCCTCAATCAGAATGAAAAAGACAAACAAAGATATATGAGAGGCGTGATTAAGTGTATGTTGCAGATTGTTTGATTTGACTGAAAGAATTTTTATCTCATTTGAATGTCTTAACTTTTTTTAAAGTATGAGTTGACACAAACTGCAGGAATTTATTACCAGATCACCTGCGGTAAAACTGAGTGAGCTAGTGAGTGCTTGAGCATGCTTCTTAACTGCTTTGACTGGAATGGCACGTCTTTATGGACGATCAACTTCTTTATTGTAATAATAGATCAACGATCATTTTCAGCCTATGATATCTTGGTGAAAAGATCATCCATCCTGTCATTCCTATTGATCTAACTTTAGAATGTCATTGTATCCACAGCAAGGGGCATGATTCCATGGTACTAAAATTTTTCAAAAAAATTTTGAGCAATGGATCCCTATACATCTAGCCATTGGGAGCTTTACTGGAAAACTCCATTTAATTGGGGCTGTAACTGTTCAACAACCAATAGTACATTTAGCTTATAATTCCAATCACTGGATTGTACTGAATGGTCATTATCAGCCTATGATATCTTGGTGAAAAGTCCATCCTGCTGATCTAAGTTTATGTCATTGTATACAGCAGGGCTCCAGATAATTTTTCAATTTTTTTTTTTCAATATAGGAGTACTGCAAAACCTTAAGAGTACATTTAGAGTACTGAATGGAAATAAATGGAGTACCAGTAATCTTGTGTTTCATTTCATACATGCACCACAACATTGCTACTCTTGTTTAAACAGGTCAGTAAACAATAAAACAATAGTTTTTCAGATAAATACGTCTGTAATGATTCTAAGACCATACACCATTGCTGTGGTGTGTATCTGCTACGTTTTCTAAATTATTTCCTACCGTATCAGGCATATTTTTTATCTGTACATACGCCGATACGGCCCTTATCTGGAGCCCTGATACAGTCAACTTGTTGTATGTTTATGCTTCTGTCAATTGGAATGTCATTTGTTTTGACTTCAAATCCAATGGTAATTGACATGTACCTGTCGAATCTAGTCAGGTGTTTTGTCCTGCCTTGTGCATGACAATAGTCACGCCATGCAGTCTAAGTAAGCAAGGTGTGTATGTCCTATGTTCAAGAAGTAAACGCTGCATGTCTTTTTCAGGTAACTGTAACCACTCCAACCCGTGCCTCCATGAGTGTAAGGACATCTACGATGGGGGCTACATTTGCACCTGCAGAAAGGGCTTCGTCCTCAACAAGGACGGAATGTCCTGCTCAGGTATGTCCTCATCACTTACCCCTTCTGTCCACAGGTGTAATGGCTGGTTAGAATTTAATTGGGTGGTCACTATGTCCGTCTATGTTAACTGGTGGGTGGCCACCTGTGACTTGTTAACACCATCGACCACTAGTTTGATGTGATGTTCCTTTCTGCTGCTGTCCAGTTGTCCGCTTGTCCTCATGACTTACGTGGGGTGGTAGGGTAGACTAGTGCTTAAACCATTCGCTCGTCACCCAGAAGACCCGGGTTCGATTCCTGACGTGTACAATGTGTGAAGCCCATTTCTGGTGTCCATTGTCATAATATATTGCTGGGGGCAGTGGGGTAGCCCAGTGGTTAAGGCCATCGTTCGTCACCCAGAAGACCTGGGTTCGATTTCTGACATCGGTACAATGTGTGAACCCATTTCTGGTGTCCATTGTCATAATATATTGCTGGGGGCAGTGGGGTAGCCCAGTGGTTAAAGCCATTGCTCGTCACACTGAAGACCTGGGTTCGATTCCTTACATCGGTACAATGTGTGAAGCCCATTTCTAGTGTCCCCTGCCACAATATCGCTGGAATATTGCTAAAAGCGATGTAAAACTATATTCACTCACCCAGGAGAAGATTGTTTGATTGTTCCCAGATTCTCCAGATGTGCCCATTTTCCTTTATGATGCTATGTTCTACAGTCCATAGCAGTATTTGACATTCCCCTCAGACGTTTCTTGACTGAAAAAAACACTGTGGTTAAATTTGGTCATGTCTGTTGAACCATCACTCATTCCTGCTACAGTTTGTAAAAAATAAGCTCAGGCTGGGCAATTTTCAGTAAAGATAAATTGGTTTAGTCAAGACCAGGATAAGAAACGTATTGGCAACCACATGATACCTACCATGTTTGAAATGTTTTCAATTTGTGCGAAAAAAAACATGTTTATTGATTTTCAAAATGAAGATGTCTAAGCCACACATCAACAGTTGTATTGCATGCAAAAAAGTGTTTTTAATTTTTAAAAGTTTTAAATTACATTTAAAAAGAGCAAAACCAAGTATGCTTTTAGTGCAAAGTGCCAGTTGAGTTCATGTTTTGGATAAAGTATTGCTAACTTGGTAGATTTTCAATTAAAAGTCAAACATGTTTCAAAATTAACACAGGTATAGTTTCTTTTGACCGTCAATAAATACATAGAGACTAAGAGTGACATCAAAGACTCTCTGAGACTGTATGACAAGAGGGGTGACTTCTACTTTCCATTAGTCTACTTTCACTTTGAGTCAGGCAATATTCCATCAACTCCAGCCTTTGCTGTCTACATTTCACAACATTTGAGGTACAATCAATCATGCTCTTTCTCAGCAGATTTCAAAGAGCATCATGCGACTCTTACTCAAGAGTTGTTTGATCAAGGTTACAGCATTCACAATCTCAGCGAAGCTTTCAAAAAGTTTTATGGTAGACATGTGGAGGAGATTTCCAATTCTGATGCATCAGAGCAAAAGTGATGACTTGTACTATCGTTTAGGTCTTTTTTAAAAGAGGACAATTGTCTTGCTTGTGCATTTTTTGTGATGTGTCCTACCAGTGGGCTAGGAAATAATAGCCTGGTTTTTTTTCAGACTCTGGTACCATTGCTATCAGTAATTCATCAACACATGCTCATGTGAAGTTAGTATCGCACAATCAAGTCTGTTTTCAGCAGAGATTAATTCTGATTATGGAAACAATTTTTTCATGTTTATTTACATTATGCTGTTAAAAATGGAATGACTTTTGCAAAATCATGTTCAGTTTGTTTCTGAACAATATTGTATTAGCGTATGTATCATTACCGCCATCTTCAGCGCGTGACTGTTTGTAATCAGTGTCTGAAAAGTAGATCCTTATTGTTCTGGATTCATTTCCATATTGAATGAACCTCAACGATTGTATGACAGTATTTACATGTGGATTTCCTGACTTCTATGACAGAATAATACTTCTGTGTTTCTCCTTCTCAAAGAGATTTGACACTCTGAATGACTTCGAGTCACCAAGTGTCAAACATTGTTGTAGCTGTCACTGATGACTCAAGCCCATATATCACAATCGGAAGGTGGTTTCAAATTGCATCTGTATGTGAGAGTCCATGGGGTCACGGGGTGAAATAAACTGCTGTACGGGATAACTTGAGTCTGTTAATGCCTTGTATTTAAGTCAATTATATTTTAAAGGCAGAGTTGATGATTAATTTGAACTTTGAGGTGAGGTGAGGTGAAATGGGGTTTAACGTGGTACTTGAGAATATTTCGTTCATATGACGATGTGCATGCATGTGTATGTGTGGCTGCTTGTACTAGCCCAGACTTAAGCTAGTTTTATAGTGCTAGCTCACCAAAATACCATGCAGTAGTTAAGCATGAATACCCCGCACAGAATACTTGAATACTATGCGTAGTAGTTGGAATAGTGAAACAAATGCATGTGCGGTCCGTGATGAGCGTTAACTTAGACTACCATAGAAACCAACCCTTCTTGTTCTCGGGGTTTCATTTAATATGCATACCCCCTTGTAATACATACCAATAATAACAATTTAAAACTATGATCGTTTGTTAAACAACTTTTATCCTAAGTTGAATATAATTCTGAGATTTTAATGTTCAATTGGCAAGGTAAAGTTATGAGGATTCACAATCTAAATTTCATATTATTTGATTTACTTTTTTGTTTAAAGTGAAATTCATCGGTACGTTTTCACTGCAAACAGACTATAGAATTCCCTTTTTTTTGTGATGAAAGAACAGTTATTTTGTTGATAAGTGGAAATAAGAACCCAATACACTTCAGATAGTAAGGAGCATTTGATATTTGATCCTTCCAAAACAACAAATATTCCTACATTTCTGAACAAGTAAGCATAGAAATATTATCTATTTGACATTTACCTGATTAAAGAGCGTTTCATAACCCGAATTTGCCGGATGCTCATATTTCTAACATTATGAAGTGACATTTGGGTTACGTGTGTCTATCATTTATAGGCGGAATTCATTGCCTTTTTCTATACAGCTCTGAGTGGTTCTGGAGAAGTTTTTGTGTCATGAAGGCCTGAAATTCTTGTCACATATTTAAATTTTTATATTTTTTTCATAATGACATTTCAGCTTGTGTCATTCAAGTTTTATGTGTTGAAACTTTTCCAAACCTATCAGAGTTTTTGTCACCATATCTGTCAAGAAGTATACAGATTTCAGGTATTTGTTTATTACTGTATTTGTTTATTGAATCAAATATCATGGGGTTCAGGGATTTACCCTGAGTCCTGTATTTGAGGGTCCCTGGGACTCATACCCCTTATTTTCAGGGGTCCTGGTCTACAAAATGGGGATCCCAGACACTTCAATATTATTATTAATACTTTGTTGTAATATTGTTGTAATGCAGTTACTGTTATTGTATTGTGTATCATGATCATCACATTGTTACAGTAATTATGTTGCAAATGATACCATAACCTGGCTGGTAGCAAACTCAGTGAAAACTTATTTATACTTGATTGAAATTTTTGTAAAAAGTATTTGAACTTTTTCTGCATCCGTGTGGTTGCACTAAGAAATTTTGTTGCGCCCATTGTCAATTTTTATGCGTATAGGACGCTGGAATTCGCGTCCTGTAAATCCCTGGGGTTAATGTATGTTTTGAATGAAAGATGATGAATAATATGTTTCAAAGTGGAAGTCAATGTTGATTTAGTACAAGCTGTTTTATGGAGTTAAAGGAGGAACAGATTCCTGCTGGACAAGTGCTTTACATTAAGAGAGTTTAAGTTCACCGTTCCATCAATATGTTTCCATGATTTATTCAAAACAACTATATTTGTAAGGTACTTTAAAATCCTGTATTGATGGAATGCATTTATTTCATATTATTCTGAATATGGTAAAGATTAATTGTTGGAAACAGGAAAGAATTTGTTATTAATGGTTTCCTTGAAGCTCTTCCCCCATGGAATTTTATGTCTATTTTTCTCCACCCAAACTTCCAACTAGTTTCCATAGCAACTGGCTATGAATGATATTGCGTCATTCCGATCATGCATCATTGATTCAGTCTCAATCCAGAAAGTCAGATTTTTACCAGCATTGGCTTCACGAAATGAAGTCTGTAGGTTTTGCCATGAAGATCTTCAGAATCTTTGAAATTATTGATCATGGCAAGTCCCAACAATATCACAGTTTTTGCTGCTTGCTTGTGTATAAAAGAAGGACCAGCAGGCGTGATTGATGTACGTACAGATACTTTCATGGATGAAGAACCTTAGTTTGCTATTTGTGTGTAAAGTGATTTGCCTATTAGTTTTTACACTCGCTTATCCAACAAGTAAGAACTGGCAGAGAGATAGGAGTATAAATCATGCAAGGTTTGTACAAAACATCAAAGTGGTAATGGAGAACATTTGGCAAATGAGGATCTTAAATTAGGTTTTGTAAGTTAACATACTGAAAGAGAGAGTTCATAGTTATATCAAGTTTGTCTGGCTTTCTTCTAAGTTTGTCATGAGTTCGATGAAATTACCGTATTTAACACATTTTGTGATATGGATTGATAAGAAGGGTATTTACTGTTATTGAAGCATTCTGCTGAGACTTTCCCTTTCCGGCCTCCAGGAAGATTTGGTCCAGACTTGATTATACACAGGTAGCTGCACGTTGCTGGAATATTGCTGACTTCAGCATCAAGCAATGTTCTGTGATATGTTCTGTTCACCACATTCTGCTGTGATTTCAACAATTATGGCATAAACTTTCCCTCTGGATTATGGTTGCCTTATTCCTGTGGGTACCACAGACACATACAGAAAAGGAAATGAAAATTTTAACACTAAGTCATAGCTATCCCTAGTGGTATGCCTACCTAACTACAGAGTTACCTCCCTTGACTATGATGTCACGGTGTTGTTGTTTGAAAACCTTCACAATTTTTCTGTATGGTTCACACACCACACGTATTACAGAAGTTAGAGTGAAATTTT